GCCATCGGAAGCACAACAGCAAGAGGAAGAGGAGGAGGAAGAGGAAGGCGCCAAAACTGAAGAAACAAAGGCAGGCTCTGCCTTGATTTGCATGACGACACCTGACGTTCTCCCGGATAACAGTGAAAACCCTCCTTTCACGTAAGCCTTCTGAAGTCAGCTTCTCCTCCTTGCTCTTTGGGTGTCCTCTACACCGCAGTCATTTTGCTTTGTGGGTGTGCGTTCTGCAGAGAGGAGCAGTGGGGGCAGATCGTCACCGCACTCGAAGGATCTGCCTCGGCTGTCTTACCTAGTTTGCTCGGCCTTGCCACGGCACTCCTCGGCATTGCGGCAGCGATGTGAGACAGATATACTATGGTGTAGTTACTGAGGGCCAACGAACGGCTTGGCAATTATGTACAGCGAGCACGCATCGACACGAGGGTTGGGTATAAGTGAATGTGGGTTTAGATTACATCACGACTTGCAATAATATGTGCTGCAACTCGTGATTGAGCCTGGTGCTTGTCTTCCGCATCATCAACTCCAAGCCCTTCCGCCACTGCCATCAAACGACCGGCAGAGGGGGTGGGCAGCAGCTCTTGGCCAATTTTGCTATCCTACACGTTTTGACACAGTCGTAGCATAGGTGGAGCTTTTGTGAAGACAGAGGAATGATTTTGCTGCATCAGCTACAATGAGTGCCTTCGTTAGCTCGGTCACCTTACGGTTGAGCCACACACGGTACGTCTTGCAGGCTTTCTCTTGTTCTCGTCAATTAGTGCAAGGACGGCTCCAATATGAATATTTAGCCATCGTTTGCTGAGTTAACGGTTGGGTCAAACATTTTACAAGCACGCAGACACGCCTTGAAGGCAAAGGCTCTGACGGCCTGGCCGGTGGAGACAGCTCGGCGTTGGCGGCTGTTACCAAAGTCTCTACCTCAAGCTGCGTTCCATATTGCACTGTCCATCCAATTACAAAGTCATTATCTAAAATATAAAACAAATTGCAGTCCTACTGCCGCTGCTTCCGACGATGAACAAGCTGCCAACCCCGGTTTCTCTGTTGGCCTGCCTAGCAAGACACGCTTCCCGCGCACCCGCGCATTGAGCATATCTGAGCCAAAGAAAACCAGTCAAGCCACCGTGGCACTCAATTCTGCCGATCATCCCTTTTTCATAAACAATTTGGAGATTGTTTGTGGTGGAAGGTTTCAACAAATTGTGTTTAAGTGCGCATATCGGGGCCTCCAACTTTATATATGGCAACAATGCNCCGACTCTCCGCCTGTTCGCGGTCGTCAGTGCCTCGCTGCTCCTCTTGGCCAAAGCTGATGGGAGCGGTGTCGAGGGACCTCAAACACCATCAACAACAAAAACAACCACATACGCCGTCAAACTGGGTACGTTGGCTCGTCGTGGGTGAAGCTGAATGCTTGAAGTGGTTCCTTGGCTTGCAAACCCAGCCAGGTAGGCCAGTCCCGTAGATTTGCCCACTGGTCAGTGTAGATGTTAATGCTTCAGAAAACGGTTGATAAGCAAATCATGGCGCCCGTTATGGCACTATTTTGTCTCTCTCCGCAGGAGATGATGGCACATGCCTCACCGAGATCAACGGTGCTCGTAAGAAGGCCGGTTTCAATGATTTCGTAATACCTCAAGAGGGGAATGACAAAAGACTACCCGAGGAAGGAGAGCGTGATTCCGGCAAG